CCTAAGCCCTAAGCCCTAAACCCTAAACCCTAAACCCTAAACCCTAAACCCTAAACCCTAAACCCCGAAAGCCGAAAACCCCAAACTTTGCAGGCCAAGCATCCGCCGTGCCGTGGGGGGCCAAGGTTGTCAAGTCTTTGGTCAGCCTGGGGGTTTTCAGGGTTTGAGGGGTTTAAGGTTTTGGGGGTTTAGGGTTTAGGGTTTAGGGTTTAGGGTTTAGGGTTTAGGGTTTAGGGTTTAGGGTTTAGGGTTTAGGGTTTAGGGTTTAGGGTTTAGGGTTTAGGGTTTGGGGTTTTCAGGGTTTGGGGGTTTAGGGTTTTTAAGGTTTGGGGTTTTAAGGTGTGGGGGATTAGGGGTTTAGGGCTAGGCTTGGGGGTTTATGGGGTTTGAGGTTGAGGGTTTGGAGGTGTGGGGTATTGGTGTTTAGGGTTTGGGGGTCTATAGCGCTTAGGCTCGAAGCAAAGGTCTATGTAAACCATACCCCAAGTTAGACTTAGACTTAGGGTTCAGGGTTTAGGGCAAACCCTGATCCCTAAACCCTAAACCCTAAACCCTAAACCCTCAACCCCTTAATTCCCCCCCCCCCCACATCTCGGCCAGTTGTGTTTTATCACTTCTGGATTTCTCTTGAAGCCCCATAAACCCTGTAAACCCCTAAACCCCAAACCCTATAAAGCCTGAACCCCAAACCCCAAACCCTCTAAACCCCACAAACCTCCCTAAGCCGTAGGCCCCAAGCCCTATGAAACCTGAACCCCAAACTCCCAAAAGCCCCCTCAACTTTCTTGCACAGACATGGGGGGCTTCCCGGGTTCAGGGGCTGGGTGTAGGGTTTAGGGTTTAGGGTTTAGGGTTTAGGGTTTAGGATTTAGGGTTTAGGGCTTAGGGTTTAGGATGTTGCACCTCAGGGTTCGGATTTCTCCGTCTCCCTATACTTCTCCAGCAACCAAGTGAGAAAAGGTTGAACTTTAGTCTTCCCGAAACCCCAAATCAAACCCTAAACCCTAAACCCAAAACCCCCAAAGTTTAAAGCTCAACTGTTGGCTGAGTAAGTCTTTCGCCGAGCTATATCGTATGTGTTTCTGAGTAGGGTATTTGGGGTTTTGGGGTTTAGGGTAATTAGGGTTCAGGGTTCAGGGTTTGGGGTTTAGGGAAATTAGGGCTATAAAGCGTGTTGTGAGTCCTCTGGTCAGGATTCGGCTGTGATGGAGCATGTCAATGGCGTACCCTTGCTTCCGGAAACCCCCACATGCCAGAATTCTAGGACAGTGCCAGCCCAAACCCTCACCCAGCATCGGAAGCTACTCAGCAAACCAACCTTTCAGTACTTCGGTTTAGGGTTTCGGATTTAGGATGTAGGGTTTAGGGAAGCTAAAGGTTTAGCGATCCATCACTAGAAGCCCCCAAGCCCTCAATTCCAACCCGAAAACCCTGCATGAACTGAGCTGTCAGGACTGTCAGTACTCCCCTGAGCACCCATTCGACAAACTGGGCTTAGGGAAATCAGCGTTAGGGCTTAGGGTTTAGAGTTTTTTTTTTCTTTGGGGGGGGGGGGGGGGGGGGGCAAATCCTGTTTAGGACTTAGGGCGTTAACCTAACCCTAAACCCTAAACCCTAAACCCTAACCCTAAACCTTACCCTAAACGCTAAACCCTAAACCCTAAACCCTAAACCCTAAACCCTAACCCTAAACCCTAACCCTAAACCCTAAACCCTAAATAAACTCTAAACCCTAAACCCTAAACCCTAAACGACAACGCCTGTAATGCACCACTGGCCTCTCGGCAAAGCCCGGAAACTGGGAACTGCCTCCTGAGACGCTACTAGTTAAAGGTTCAAAAAACGCGGTGGAGCCCTGTGCCCCAACCGTAAGCCCCTAAGCCCCAAGTCCTAAACCTTTAGGGTTCAGCCTACAAGGTTTAGAGGGTTTAGGGTTTAGGGAAGCATGGGGGCAGTCCTCTAAATTGGGGGTCCCTTTGTAGGCCCTTCATATAAGGGTGCCGTATTCTATATGGGGTCCAAAAAAAGGGACCCTCCATAAACCCTAAACCCTAAACCCTAAACCCTAAACCCTATAAACCCTAAACCCTAAACCCTAAAGGGACCCTAATCCAGAGAACTGGCCACATGTTGTGATGTTGGGGATAGGGATCTCCGGGCCCTGTAACAAACACAAGCCATCAAACATTGCAAAGCTGGAAGCCCATGACTGTCCACAAATTTGGAGGGTTTGGGTCCTAAACCCTAAACCCTAAACCCTAAACCCTAAACTCTAAACCCTAAACCCTAAACCCTAACCCCAGAGGCGCATGAGCCCGTCACTTCCCAGAACCCTGACATCTAGGGGCTGTACCTTGGACCCTTAAGGTTGTGCCCTTGGGTTTTTGGGGGAACCCTTTAAAAATCTGAAAAATAGTATAAGGTCCACATTAAGAGTATATTAAGGGGGCACCTTTCAGGGCACAACCTTTACGTGTCTCAATCCCTTGATACATCCTACACCCTCCCATCTCTTGGGGGGGGGGGGGGGGGGGGGAGGGGGCAGGGGGGCGCTACTAACCGAAGAAAAAAATACTGGCCTCATAAGGAAGGACTATATAGGGATTCGGGCTACTACCGTATAAAACTAAACTCTAATGGCCTTATAAGGACTATATGAAGCAAGGTGATATTTTACAAGCCAAAAGGACACTCAACACATACACACACCAATATTCAAAGGGGCCCTAAGTACACTCACCAATAGCATTAATCTAAACACTGTTTCATACAGGGATTAGGGCAACAACAAAAAGCATCTTTTAAACTCAGCCCTAGACCCTAAACCCCAAACCCTAAACCCTAAACCCTAACCCCTAAACCCTAAACCCTAAACCCTAAACCCCTAAACCCTAAACCCTAAACCCTAAACCCCTGGAGCCGGTCGAGCCTGACAACACCACGTTGGCGAAGAGCTCGCCTCGGGTGTCGATGTCGCACTCGGACACAGACTGGATGATCGAGTCCTCCGAGGTTTAGGGTTTAGGGTTTAGGGTTTAGGGTTTGGGGTTTAGGGTTTGGGGTTTGGGGTTTAGGGTATAGGGTTTCGGGTTTCGGGTTTGGAAGGGCTAATAAAGCCATATGAAACCACACACACAGTCTTCGTAGACGAGCACCAGCGGCAGAAACTCATCCACAGTCTTTGTAGACGAGCAAAAACGCCAGAAAAACTCGTCCAGAGGAGCTCAGGGCCCCTCAAGCCACCGGAGTGGTGGAAGGCTTCCACCTAGCAGCCAGTACAGCAGAGCGAACCTCAAGGCAGTGACTTACGACCGCCGCATCAGTAGAAAGCCCCACTGGCCAAGCTAAACGTCCTTGCAGTGAATCACTCGGTTTGCGCGGTCTGCTGCTCACAAAAGCAGGGCATGACCAAAGGAGATGCTCAGTCGTGGGAACCTCACGACCGCAAAGCTCACACGGGGTCTCATCTCTCTGAATCGTTGCGGGGCTGGCAAATGCACCGGAGAGAAATCCAAAAGCAGCATAGCTGGATTGAGCCACCTCTCTCGCAAGCTTACATCTGCGTTCACTGTACTGCTGATCGGCGCAAGCCGTTGCATCATTTCTGCTGGAGGAGTGCCAAGCCTCCCACTCAGAACGCCTCCATGCTTCACGCAACAGATGTGCAAGAAGGCCCTTATCTGCTGCAAAATTCCTTCCGTTGCGATCCATATGAAACCCTTCAAGCTCGACGGGCGATCCCAAATACCCTAAACTCGCAACCCTCAATACACATGTAAGCTGTAAACCCTAAACCCTGAACCCTAAACCATAAACCCTGAACACCCTAAACCCTAAACCCCTGAGAGAAAAACAAAGACGACATGTACACGGGCACAGTACGAATCCCAGAGCCTAAATTCCAAACCCTAAACCCTAAACCCTAAACCCGATGGACCCCAAATGCAAGGAGGCGGTTCCTGGATGCCCAGGTACTCGAAGCCCATGAGCGCAGGTTGGAAGAGAAGCTCGCAACACCTCCCCGTCGACATTTTTTTGTTGGTGTTTGTTGTTGGGTTTAGGGTTTAGGGTTTAGGGTTTAGGGTTTAGGGTTTAGGGTTTAGGGTTTAGGGTTTAGGGTTTAGGGTTTAGGGTTTAGGGTTTCGGGTTTTGGGGTTTTGGGGTTTTGGGGTTTTGGGGTTTTGGGTTTTGGGGTTTTAGGGTTTTAGGGTTTTAGGGTTTTAGGGTTTTAGGGTTTTAGGGTTTTAGGGTTTAGGGGTTGAAAAGGGCTTCTTTTTGGGGAGGGCGTTGAGCGCTTGCTTGTCGGTTTTTAGGGTTTAGGGTGTAGAGGGCTTCGTTTGGGTTCCATTCAAGGTTGTTAGGGCTTCACGGCTTTGTGAATAGCTGACCCCATCTGTTGGCAGCTTCTACTTGGACTTGTTTTTGGTGTTACACGAAATCCGGGTTGAGGGCTCTGAGGGCCCAAACACCCCAAACCATAAACTCAATGGGGGGGGGGGGGGGGGGGAGTTGGGTTCTTTGAGTACTCTCAACCTTAAACCCTAAACCCTAAACTCCAACCCTAAACCCTCAACCATCTTCCTTCGACAGGCTTTGGCCCTCATCACGTTGCCCAACGAGTCCACTTATAGTATAACTCTGGAATGAGGCGCCAAAAGCCACAACATGTACAAAGTTTAGGGTTTAAGGTTTAGGGTTTAGGGTTTGGGCACCTAATTCCACAAGCTACTACCATGAATGGACCTGGTGGGTTCGGCACGGAAACTCCCAACCCTTAAGCCCCGAACCCTAACTAAATCCTGACTGCCAAACCCTAAACCTTAAACCCTAAACTCCTAAACCCTAAACCCTACCCAAATGGGGGGGGGGGGGCTTGAGTGAAGGTTGACAAGAGCTTTGCGGCTTTTATGTGTAGGCAAATCTGTTAGCAACATGTTTTTTGCGGATGGAAAGGTTTAGACGTCTAGGGCCTTGGGCCCAATATGCAGCTTCGCCAAAGGGCTTGGTTTGGGAACAACTTACAGAAAAAATGTATCGGGCTCTCAGGGAAGTATTTTCTATGACCAGCCTAGAAACACAGGTCTTGGGTTCCGAAGGCAATCGTGGGTAGTTTTAAACGGATTCATATACGATAAGAAACTTGTCATTAGCTGGTTGTAACCATCTTCTTTAAAGTCCTTACAGCCCTATTTTTCACCACCCATGGCCCTCCAAGTAGGGTTTAGGGCCTGGATTATAAAGGCCGGTGAACTCTTTACCTGTTACCCTTATACCTTAATACAGCCCCTAGATACCCTGATAAGAACCCCGATTACAATGCCCCTATAAGACAGAAACCCTGAACCCAACCCTAAACCCCAAACCCTAAACCCTAAACCCTAAACCTAAAACCCTAGTTAAAGAGACCACCAACCCACATCAGCTTTGGATGTTGAGGGTGATCGGCTCTAAGAGTAGACTCTCTTGGAAACTTCCTTCGGGTGTTAGGGTTCAGGGTTCAGGGTTTCGGGTTTAGGGTTGAGTGTTTGCCAAGAGCCAGTATCCTGAGACTCGGGTGTTTAGGGCTTAGGATTCGGGATTTAGAGTTTTGGTTGTGCCTGGGTTGCAGGGTTTGACGTTTCCACCTGTATACCGGCCATGTACGGCCCCCCGCGAAAAACTAGCCGCAGATGTGCCTGAACCGCTCAGCGCCCACCATGATCACATCTGCACAAGGCAGCTCATAGGCAGCCTCCTGGGCAGTTTGCAGGTTTGGAAGCATAGGGTTTGGGGTCCACCGGAACCTCCCCAAGTATGGGAAAACAAACGGCGAAAAGCCCATGAAGGAAAGACACTTATGTCACATACTTTTGGGTGTTAGGAAAAGGGGTGGCGGCCCGTAATCCCTAAACGGTAGGGTTGAACCCCTGTCTCGCTCTCGGTGTGGCGTAGTCTGCAGGGGTCGGCCCCGTACCGGGGCCACAGTTCTTGTGATGTACTTGAGTCCTTGCGTAGCCGAGCAACCATAATATGGTTGCACTATCATAATAAAGGGTACCCTGTTTGGGGTGGGTTGCTTTACAAAGGAACCTAAACCCCAAACCCTAAACCCTCCTAATCCTAAACCCTCCTAACCCTAAACCCTCCTAACCCTAAACCCTCCTAACCCTAAACCCTAAACCCTAAACCCTCCTAACCCTAAACCCGCAAAGGGTACCACGGGCGTTCCCTGCGCTCCGGGGGTGCGTTCGGCAGTTTTCTTTGTTGGGTTTAGGGTTTAGGGTTTAGAGGTTCTAGTAGGGTACCAGGCGATCGGGCTTGGGGCTTACTGGACTTAAGGATTTTCGGAGCTTCTTAAGGTTTAGGTTTAGGGTTAGGGTTTAGGGTTTAGGGTGGGTTTAGGGGTTTAGGGTATTCAGAGATTCAGATACTTGATTTGCGATGAAGAAAGTGTGAAACCCGAGGGGACAGCCCCGAATTCCTCGACCCGAAGCCCTACGTCCTAAACCTCCTAAACCTCCTAAACCTCCTAAACCTCCTAAACCTCCTAAACCTCCTAAACCTCCTAAACCTCCTAAACCTCCTAAACCTCCTAAACCTCCTAAACCTCCTAAACCTCCTAAACCTCCTAAACCTCCTAAACCTCCTAAACCTCCTAAACCTAAACCCTGAACCCTAACCCTAAAATCAAGCCTCACCCTACATAACCCCCCCCCCCCCCCCCAGACCCTTCCTTCTCTGGCACGTCCGACGCGCACTCAGCTGCGAAATCCAAAGCCACGTAGCAGATCGTCTCCTAATGGTTTCGGGGATTTGGAGTTGAGGGTTTATACAGGGTTTAGGCATTAGGGTCACATCTTTGGTAGGGCGACCCGGTGAAGCCAAGCGCTTGGAGAACATGCAGAACACACTCAGCCCTAAACCCTCAACCCCAAACCCGTAAGCCCCAAACCTGTAAACCCTAAGCCCTAAGCCCTAACCCTAAACCCTAAACCCGAACCCCTAAACCCTAAACCCGAAACCCTAAACCCTAAACCCTAAACCCGAAGCCCTAAACCCTCTAAACCCGAAGCCCTAAGCCCCAATCCAACCTTGATGTCGTCCGCGATCTGGCGGTCGCTGGTGCTGTGGAAGGCATAGCCGCGCTCTGTCAGCAACCTTGCAGCGCAGGGGTTTAGGGTTTAGGGTTTAGGGTTTAGGGTTTCGGGTTTAGGGTTTAGGGTTTAGGGTTTAGGGTTTAGGGCTTCGGGTTCAGGGTTTAGGGTTTGGGGTTTGGGGTTTAGGGTTTAGGGTTGGGTGGGGGGGGTCCCAGTCTTAAGCCTATTTGGGAACTCCTATTATACGAGGATGACACTATCTTGGGGGATCTATAACCTACCTGGGGACCTACCTTTGGAGTAGACCCTGAAAAAAAAGTATATACTTTTTAGGTATAAGTAGCTTCAATAGGAACCCAGAACCAAAAAAAGCATTAAAGTACAGTACTCCAAAACCCAGATAAGGGGAACCTCTTTTTTCAAAAAAAGCCAATGTTGGGCTTGGGGGCTTGGTTTGGGGCAGCTCTGGCTTTGCAGATGGGAATCGAGGACGTTGGGATGTGACCCCCTCTACTAGCAGTCCTTAAGAGGGATTCTAACAGTGGGTACGATAGTCCCTACTAAGGACGGTTGGTATGCTTGAAAGGCGCCTACTTTTGGCAAGCTACAGTACACATCGTCAGGCGTCTTTATGGTGCACCCCGAAAGCCACGGCCCAAATCCACAGGGTTAAGCCACAAAGCATTCCCTAAACCCTAAACCCTAAACCCTAAACCCTAAACCCTAAACTCTAAACCCTAAACCACTCTGAAAGCTGCTGAGGTGAACGAGTCACGGCTCGGAATCGAAACCCAAGAGTAATCAAGGAACAAACATTGGCATCCTGCTTGGTTTCAACGGGGCGTATAAGTGAGACTAAACCTTGAGACCCTAAACCCCAAACCCTAAACCCTACACCTTAACCCTAAACCCTAAACCCTAAACGCCCTACACTGGGTCTTAGAAACGGTACTGAGGGATCATGCATCCGGAGGTCAATTTGTAGCACAAGAGAGAGGGCGGCTTCATATCCGGGAGGGTCTAGGGTTTAGGGTTTAGGGTTTAGGGTTTAGGGCGTTCAAATGCCCCGAACCCTAAACCTTACACCCTACACCCTAAGTCCTCAACCCTAAACACTCTTGTTCTGGCCCTGTAAGCCTCAACACAGTTTCATAAACAAACTCTAAACCCTAAACCCTTAACCCCAAACCCTAAATCCTAAACCCTAAACCCCAGACCCTGGCTACGGCTTTGGGTGTTTGAACTGCACTGAGTGTAGGCCTGCCTAAACCCTAAACTTCCTGAGCCCTAAAACGCTCCCTAGACTTCCTAGATGCTAATGGGGTTTAGGGTTTAGGGTTTAGGGTTTAGGGCTTAGAGTTTTAGACTAAACCCTAAGCCCTCAACTCCCGAAACCTGCTCAGGGGCTGGGGCCCGTTGTTCGAGGATCGAGCTTGGTTGCCGACTTGCCCAGGGCCGGTTCAGGGTTTAGGGTTTGGGGTTTGGGGTTTAGGGTTGGGGGTTTGTAGGGTTTAGCTTGTCCTGATCCCCCCCCCCCCCCAAACGTTTCACAGAACTCTGCCGAGGCTGGGATGATCTTCGAACATGCGAGCGGGTTTAGACCTCTCAACTATGCTCCAGCGGGGTCGGCGGCTTGAGCCGGAGGCTCTTAAATTTGTAGGGTTTAGGGCCTAGGGTTTAGGGTTTAGAGGGTTACGTCTAGACCTTTCGGGGCGATGTGCAATGGCTCAGGAGACCAGGAACCAGCAAACGGCTTGTGTTTTGGGGTTCAGGGTTTTATTGGTTTAGGGTTTAGGGGTTTAGGGTTCAGGGTTTAGGGTTTAGGGGTAGGGCGTGGGGACAAAACAAATGCTTGCACAGCTATAGAGAGAGGCTCAGACGCTTCCTTGAAGTCACTAAACATCGTGCTTGTTGTGGGAACAGCGCTGTATCCTAAGCCCAAAGCCCCAAACCCTATAAACCCTAAACATAACCCTGCAACGCCTGCCACTGGAAGGTCCTAGTTGAAATGAAACTGAAGCATGGTTAGATCTGAAGCACCTCAGTCCCACTTCTGAGAGCGGCGCGAACCGAAACCCAAACGAATCAGGGGCGGCGAGGAAACACCGCTGATAGCCCAAAGAGCACAAGGCCCGGGTACAAACTACTATTTGCTGAAGAGCCCAAAAAATATAAAAAGAATCCCTATATTACCCTAAACAAGGAATGTTGTTCTTGTTTTTTTGAGGGGGTGCTTAAGCCCCTTCCTAATCCCCTAAACCCTAAACCCTAAACCCTAAACCCTAAACCCTAAACGGGATTAGACAGCAGAGAAGCTGCATGAGGTAGCTCGTGAGCTCCATGCCACCCAGCTCGAGGCCTTGTTGTTTCGGGTTTACAGTGTTTTTCTGGGTTTTATAATAGGGTTTGTATAAGGTTGTGGTTTTTGTTCTTGTCGGGGATTAGGCACGCTCTCGGGTTTTTATAGGGTTTTGATAGGTTCTTAACGGGTTTACAGAGTTTATGCGGGTTTTAAAAGTGTGTACAGAGTTTATACGGTTTTAGGGTGTTTAGGGTTTTCGGGACATGGGGGGTCATCTAGGTCCAGGTAGGGTTGAGGGTGTACTAACTCCAAGTTTGGGGCCAAAGGTTGCCACTCAGAACGGACCAGAACCCTCTGCATGGTGTTCTCTGCCAAAATACTGCATTCCAGTTACCTCTCGGCAGGGAATGCTAAACCCTGAAGCACAGGATCCCGAACCATTCAGGCAGGGGCATTGGAGTCTTCAGTCCTTTTAGCTCTTTAGGCTTGCACAGTTGCAAGGACTCATACGCGGTTTGCTCTTTGGGAAAACTTTATCATACTACAGATAATGCCAACTTTAATAAGCAAAACCCTGCACCATGAGCAACGCACCCAAGAAACGCCCGACCGCATGCGCCATGGCTACGCCCTCGTAGATGGGAACAGCCAGCGTCTGCGAGACGCCACAATCCTGCAGAAGGAAGCTGAACGCGAAGATATCAGTACTCGGGTTCATGGTACTTACCCCCCCAATCATAACTGTACTTGCGAGTAGGTTCGAAGTACACGCATAATGTATACTTGGGGTTCTAAGTTATAAGTGCCCAGGAACCGCCAAATAAGTTAGCATGGGATACGAACTCACAGAAAGCGAGAATACTGGCACTACTGGTCATCGGCGTAGGGTGGATTTAGGGTTTAGGGTTTAGGGCTTAGGGATTAGGGTTTAGGGTTTGGGGTTTAGGGTTTAGGGTTTCGGGTCTAGGGTTTAGGGTTTCGGGTTCTAGGGTTAGGGTTTGAATACAGCTGGGTCTCGACCACGAGTCCATGGGTCCTTCCTGCCGCATACAGCGCCAAGACTTGCGCGTTGCAGAGGCACGCTGCCGAGACCTCGAACGTCTCCTGAGCGAAGTGTTTTCTTTAACCTCACGGCCTGGCAAATGACCTCAAAACTCTGCAGTATAGCTAATTAACCCTAACCCCTAAACACTGAACCCGAAACCCTAATCTAAACGCATGTGTAAAGTATAGGGTATACCTCCCACAATAGTACGAAAATGGCGCCGCAGGTGGACCCTAAAGCCAAGCCAAACAATAAGTCAAATCCAGACTTGAATTCGCAGTAAGCTCAAAAAGGCCTCTCTATTTCGCATGAGTCTAGGGTTTAGGATTTAGGGTTTAGGGTTTAGGGTTTAGGGATGTTTAGGGCTTAGGATTTAGGATCTAGGGTTTAGGGTCTAGGGTTTATGGAAAAATGGAAGTCCAACGGGCCGAACCTTCGACGAAGCCCCAAAAGCTTCGTCGGCACCATACTCGAAGGTTTCATGGCTAGTTACAGGCTTTTTCGGTGGGGTAACTGTAGTTAATACCAGATGATGACCTGATTTAGGGTGCTTTTTTACCCTGCTGATGACTGCCATGAACCTTCAAGTACAAGGTTCGCTGGGGTTCGACAAATTTCAGATACCGACAAGTTCGGCGAAGGTTCGGCAACCCCCCCCCCCCCCCCCCAACTCTCCCCCCCCTCCCCTTCCTGCGGTTAAACCCGTAGGCCTCCACATTCAGTTCTGCCCGAAAACTGGGAGATCTAGTATACCTAGGATGCTCATTAACCCAGGATTAAAAAGGGTACCCTTTTTTGCTTGAAGGGGTTTATAAGGGAACCTAGTCCCCCAAAACAGGGAATAAGGGCACTACTGGGCATCCTAGATACAGTAGAAGCCCTGAATTTCTGGGCTGACTGCCAGGCATCGAACAAGATCAGGAGAATCTTCTCCCGATCCGCCTCAGGTTTGGGGTCTATAGGGTTAAAGCCTTAGGGTTAAGGTGTAGGGCTCAGCTTCGATTTTAAAAAGCCCAACCTACCCTAATGACACGCAACAAACGCAACAAATGGCCGGGTTTAGGGTTTAGGGTTTAGGGTTTAGGGTTTAGGAGTTAGGGTGTAGGGTTTAGGGTTTAGGGCCTAGGGCTATGGCCCTTATATATTCTTAGGGATCCGTAGTAGCCGTAATAAAGGGCCACAAAACCCAAGGGCACAACCTGAAGGGTCCAAGGTAGAACCCCTAGACAACTCAAGGGTTTCGGGTTTTCGGGTTTCGGGTTTAGGGTTTAGGGTTTAGGGTGTAGGGTTTAGGGTTTAGGGGGATGTTGGTGCTGTTCTTGTTGCCGCGGTCTGACGCAGGCCTGGCTGTTTGTTTTGCTGTCGCCTGAGTAGTTAGTTGTTGCTGTTGCTCTTGCTCTTGCTGTTGCCTCCAGACCCCGAACTGAGCACCCCAAAAACCTGATAAAGCATCCTTCAGACAGCGCGCCGGATGCCAAAATCCAACTCCCTGAGCTCCTCATCCCCCTCAACCCCTGTAAAGGGTCCAAGCACTAAACCCTAAAGCCTAACAATCTAAACCCTAATCCCTGAGCCCTAAACCCTTTAAAAATCCTGGGGAGGCAAAGCCGCGCACAAAGCCCTGTGCCTTGCAAAGGCTCCTAAACTTCTACTCCGAGATGAGTCCGAGACCCGAAACATCATGGGTACCCCCCCCCCCCCCCCCCCCCCCCCGCCCCATACTAACCCCCCCCTAGGTTTCCCCTAAACCCTAAACCCTAAACCCTAAACCCTAAATCCTTGAATGCCCCTGAAATAGGGGGGGGCGGGGGTAGTAGGGGAACTCATGAAAACAAGACTTGCCGTCAACCACGCGCCTTGGGGATGAGGGGCGCCTCCGTGAGGAGGACGGGATGCGCCTGAAACAGGGTGGTTTAGGGTTTAGGGTTTAGGGTTTAGGGTTTAGGGTTTAGGGTTTTGGGTGTTTAGTACTGGGGCTTAGGGTCTATGGGCTTAGTGCTATAAAGAGTTTAATGTTTAGTGTTAGGGTTTAGGGTCTAGGTTTAGTACTCTGGAGGGTATAGCGTTGAGGAATAGTGTTTAGGTTTTGGGGTATTTACGGCCTGGGCCCTAGCGTGGGTTGCGTTTAGGGTTTAGGGTTTAGGGTGGAGGGTTTGGGAATTACAGGCAGCACCAGGCGGCAGTCGTTTGAGGTAACCGAAACACCAATTAGCCGGATTTTCTAAACCGCTTGATTATCGAATATACCTTCAAAACCTTATCCGAATCCCTCGTTTGTGAGCCCACTGCGGCTTAGGACTCAGGGCGAAGGGATCAATACTCTGTCTTAGGAAAACCTGCAAGCCTGTAAGCCTGAAATCGAACCAAAAAAAATGGGGGCGAAGTACACATGCAGTGCGCGACGTCTGCCCCTTCTACACCGCAAAAACCAAATGCATAAATCCAGAAGTCTTTGACACCATCATGTACTTCAAATACCCCTTAACAAACCCTAACCCCCAAGCCCTGAAGCCTAAACCCTAAACTGTCAGGGTTCATATGGGGGTTTCCTAAATTAGGGCCACGTTGTTGAGATCCTTATTATAAGGGAATCCTACTATTTGGGGTCTATATTGAGGTCCCTGATGTTCGCACACCCCCATATTCCCTAGGCTTCCTAAACCCTAAACCCTAAACCCTAAACCTTAGACCCTGAACCCTAAACCCTAAACCCTAAACCCTAAACCCTAAACCCTAAACCCTAAACCCTCAGCGGGTCCTCTGGAGCTACCTCCAGCTCATTGTAGAAGATGTGGTGCCAGATTTTCCTGAGGCTTGTGTAGGGTTTGGGGCTTAGGGCTTAATTAGGGTTTAGGGTTTAGGGTTTAGGGTTTAAGGTGTAGGGTTTGGGGCTTTGTGTTCACCTTAACGACCGGCTGAAAACCTATCCGGTTTGCTATTTTGCCGCGTTCTACGAACCCTAATTAAACCCTAAACCCTAGACCCTAGACCCTAGACCCTAGACCCTAGACCCTAGACCCTAGACCCTAGACCCTAGACCCTAGAACCTAGAACCTAGAACCTAGAACCTAGAACCTAGAACCCTAAACCCTGAACCCTAAAACCTAAACCCGAAAACCCTAATTGGGGTTTAGGGCTTAAAGTTAAAGGGAATTGGGCTTCCAGCACATAGAAGTCCAACAGGCCCTGGTGCTTTTGAATGCGTTATTGGTCAAGGTTTTGAGTTTGGGGTTGGCGTTTGGGGTTTAGGGTTTAGGGTCTAGGGTTTAGGGCAAAGTGCCGGGCCTTCTCCATGCCTGAACAAGAAAGAAACTCCCCCCCCCCCAAAAAAAAAAAATGAAAACGGAGCTTCAACAGGGTTGCTCAAACCTTCCGAAGATGGCGGCCTTCAACCCCTAAACCTTAAGCCCTAAATTCTTAACTCTAAACCCTAAACTCTAAACCCTAAACCTACTGATTCTCGACAGGGCATGAGGGCATGAGGGAATTATTGGGTGTCTTCCATCCCCCCCCCCCCTATTCACACCTTCTTTAAGGGAAGGGAAGGGTTTAGGGTTTGGGGTTCCAGGGTTTAGGGGCCCTGTATGAAGAATCTGTGAACTTCAGCCAAACATGTATCGACAGACCACGGATTGCTGGCCAGTCGTCTCGCGCAATGCGCAGGGTCTCTGACCTTCGCCCTGAACCCTAAACCCTAAACCCTAGACCCTAAACCCCTAACCCCTAACCCTAAACCCTAAGCCCCCTTCCATCAAGAAAACTCAAGCTCCGCTGCTCGTCAGAGGCACCACCAGCATCCAGAGGCTCCACTTTAGACCGAATTGCGTCATACTGCTCTGTGTTTCATTGCCCTTAGGGTTTAGGGTTTAGGGTTTAGGGATTAGGGTTTTGCAGAACCGTGTCAGCACTCACCTGATCGTTTCTGCAATCTCGCTGGATAAGGTGCCGGGATTCAGATCCAAACCCTCGAGGCCCTTCCGCACAGACCAGTTCGGTAGTGTGGCGCTGTACCGAACGTGCATGACACCTTCACATACATCCTGCTGGATGGCCAGAACACAACAATCGGCCAGGGCTGTATGGTCAAAAGCAAACCCTAAGACCCCATGTACCAAATTACGCAATACTCTTACTTAAAGTACCTCCTATATAGGGTTTAGGGTTTAGGGGTTTAGGGTTTAGGCTGTAGGGTCTAGGGTTGAGTATAGAATAATGACAAGCGCTTAGGTTTAGGGTTTAGGGTTTAGGGTTTAGGGTTTAGGGTTTAGGGTTTAGGGTTTAGGGTTTAGGGTTTAGGGTTTAGGGTTTAGGGTTTAGGGTTTCGGGTTTAGGGTTTAGGGTTTAGGGTTTAGGGTTTAGGGTTTACCTTTGCGTTGGTCCTTTCAGGTGGTGCCCACCCCTCCTTTTTGGAGAAAAAGAAGTGGGAGCGCGAATTTCATGTGGTCGCTCAACTGGTTGTAGCTCAAATTGGGGCACTTGCAGCACTACTTCTGGCTACCCATCAACCTCAGCCTCCAAGGTCCAACTACCCTTCACCCTAAACCAACCCCAAACCCTAAACCCTACACCCTAAACCC